TGTGGTGGGTTTTTTTCCCAAGATCACTTGACATAATACTTCTGCTACCCTCCCAAAGTTGATCACTCATGTTTAGGACAGAAAAGATCTCCAGACCGGCCCAGTGTAAGCAGCTACTGTTTGTCTCGCTCTCCAGCAAAGTAACAATCTACTTTTCAAGTGGCTCTTTCAGCTTGACGATCAGGATGGAAGGATCTATCTTAACTTAGAACCTAGGAAGTCATTTTTGTCCAGGTTGTTTATTTGAATCAGATCGCCCTCCTGAAAGAAGTGTGTCTCATCAGAACAGTGTTTCTTAACTTGGACAAGATTTAAGATGGGTGAACATCTGCTCCCAGAATTCCCCAGCCAGTATGTCCTTAGTCTAATGAAGAGAAAGGCTAGGGATGACATGATAGCAGTCTTCCAATATTTGAGGGGCTCTCACAGGTATGATAGGGTCTCCAAAGCACCTGGCAGCAGGACAAGAAGTAAGCATGGAAACTAATCAAGGAGAGAAGCAACCTAGAACTTGGGAGAAATTTCCTGACAGTGAGAACAATTAATCAGTGGAACCACTTGCCTCCAGAAGTTGTGGATGCTCCATCACTGGAGATTTTCAAGAAGAGACTGGAAAGCCAGTTGTCCAGAATGGTATAGGGCAGTGATGGTTAACCTTTTTGCCATCGCGTGCCAAAAGTGGGGGGAGCACGAGGGGGGGTTGCGCACGTGTGCATACACCCATAATTCTATGCGCCCTGCCCCCCACACTCCCCGTGCTTTTGGCACACAATGGCACGGTGGGCCCAGTAGGCCCATTTTTCGCCTTCTCCAGGCTCCAGAGGCTTTCTAGGAGCCTGGGGAGGGCGAAAGCAGCCTTCCCCTCCCCCCTTCCGGAGGCCCTCCGGAGGCCGGAAATGGCCCATTTGCCGACTTCCAGTGGAACTGAAAGTTGGCAAATGGTCCGTTTCCAGCCTCCGGAGGGCCTCCAGTGGGGCTGAGGCCGTTTTTGCCCTCCCTGGGCTCCTAGAAAGGCTCTGGAGCCTGGGGAGAGCGAAAAACGGGCCTTTCCCACCAACCCGGAGGCCCTCCGGAGGCCGGAAACAGCCTGTTTCCTGACTTCTGGTGGGCCCAGAAGGTCTGAAAATCAATTGGCCAGTGCACGCATGCGTGCCGGAGCTGAGCTCACATGCCCACTAATATGGCTTCGTGTGCCACCTGTGGCACGCGTGCCATAGGATCGCCATCACAGTTATAGATTCTCCTGCTTTTGCTGGGGTTGGACTAGAAGACCTCCAAGTTCCCTTCCAACTCTGTTATTCTGTAATTCTATAATATGTAGGGGTTAGAAGAGACCTGGAGGATTATCTCAATTTAATCCTCTACCCAGTGCAGGAATCCGCTTCTACAATCTCCTGAACAGGTAGCCATTCAGCCTGTTTGAACACATCTAGTGAAAGCGAGTTCACATTTGCATTTAAATCCAGTGAAAATGAAATACACTGACTAGGATGACTCTCCAGAAAATGTAACATTTTCCATCTTTTGTCATGCTAAAAATTACAGCCTGGTAGTAAATTTTGGAGCTCTGGAAGCCACATCTAAAGCTTTCAGGGGCTAACTGTGGCCCTCAGATTATGCATGTCTGATCGGCGATAGGTAGTAAAAGGGGCCACTTTAGCTAGGAATAATATATTTCCAAGTATTTTTAATAGCCATGTAAGGAATCTGAGCCATAAATCATGATAGTTGCAAGAACGCTTCTGAAATTTTAATAGCACGGGAACGCAGTCCTTTTTCAGAACTTTAATAACAAATTAGCATTGCGATTGTATCTGTCCATTCCTACTTAAACAGAATATTTTGTCCTTCTCTCAAAATTCTTAGATCCATCAATTACGGACGTGCTCGAGATTCACAAGTTTGGTAGAGTTTAATGGTTTGTGAGAAGTATGAACTTTTTTGAAGGCTTCTACTTCAGCTTTACAGCATCTTGGAGAATGAAGATTTATTAGATAGAAGTCTACCACGATATGGAACTCATTTCCCAAGACAGTGGGGCTTTGCATAATATTTGCTGTATTTTGATGAAGCGGTTTTGCATCCGGACAGCAGAGTTGCTTTGCTGAAATGCCTGATATATCACAAAGCTGCTCTTTGACCAATCATAGAACGTTGTAAATTATAGTTAGAAACAGAGAGATAAAAGAGGCAGAGATCATAAATAAAAGCACCAAGCCATTAAATTACTCTTTAATGTTAACATTGCAGAGATGAAAAGACCGAGTACAAGGAAAAGCATCATGAAATAAGTAATATTAGTTTAAACACAGGCAAAGTTGAAGCCATACATAACTCATTAGTATGGAGTGTGCAAATGTAGAGACCATCACTGAAATGGCTCTGGGTCCTTTTTGCACAGACAAATCAATCTTGTAGAACAGTCCATGAAAACAACCTGCTGAGTCTTGACACAATGGTATACATGCGTATTCAAATAATAAGTCCTATAACATCTGGGAGTCTTTTTTTTTAACCCAAGCTAACATTATGAATCCAACGTAGAAAGCATAGAACATAGAATCATAGGGCTGGAAGGAACTTGTCTTGAAGATCTTCTAGTCCAATCTCCTGTTCAAGACAGGAGACCTTGCACCAGGGGTGAAATGCTCCCGGTTCAGACCGGATCGCCCGATCCGGTAGCGATGGCTGCGGGTGGTTCGGAGAACCGGTAGCAAAAATCCCTACGCGCACCCCCCACACCATTCCCAGCTGAGCCGCGCGATCATCAGAGGCTTTTTTTTTTTACTTTTAAAAGCATTTTTTCTACAATCTCTTCCGACAAAAAAAAATGCTTTTAAAAGTAAAAAAAAAAGCCTCTGATGATCGTGGGGGTGAGCTGGGATCGTCAGAGGCTTTTCAAAGCATTTTTTTTCTGCAACCTCTTGGCTGAAAAGGTGGTAAAAAAAATGCTTTGAAAAGCATTTTTGTTGTATTGTTTTTTTGTGTGTCATTTTATGTTGTGTTGTTTTTTTTCTTTTTAACTGAAATGTAAATAAAGATTATTTTTTTTAAAAAAAGAAAAGTCTCTGACGATCCCGGCTGAGTTGCCTGATCGGCAGAGGCTTTTCAAAGCATTAGAAAAAATGCTTTGAAAAGTTAAAAAAAAAATAAAAAGCTGGCCACGCCCACCCATCACATTACCCACCACCACCAAGCCACGCCCACAGAACCGGTAGTAACAAATTTTACATTTCACCCCTGCCTTGCACCATCCCAGTCAAATGGTTATCCAATCTCTTCTTGAAAACCCCCAGTGATGGAGCCCCCATAACCCCAGGAGACAATCTATTCCACTGGTTAATTGTCCTCCTTGTGAGGAAATTCCTGCTTAGTTCCAGGTTGCTTCTCTCCTTGATTAGTTTCCATCAGTTGCTTCTTGTCCTGCCCTCCGGTGCTTTGGAGAAGAGGCTGATCCCCTCTTCTCTGTGAAAGCCTCAGTCAGGGGCGTCAAACTCAAGGCCTGGATCAAGCCCATGGGTCGCTTAGATCCGGCCCATGGGGTTGGCCTGGAAACAGCAAAGACCAGGCCTTGGGGCCTCTGCCAGCGATAATGGAGCTCCATTTTCGCTGGCAGAGAGCTATCAAAACAAAGAAAAACGAAAGGAGAAATGTTTCCCCCTTTTGCATTTGAGCATGCAAGAAAGGACAGGAAAAGAGAAAGGGAAAGAGGAAAGAAAAAGGAGGGAAGATGGGAAGAGAGCAAGGAAGGAAAAATAAGAAAAGAGGGGAAGGAAGAAGAAAGGTGAATGAAGAGGGAAGGAAAAAGAAGGGAAGGAAGGAAGGAAGGAAGGAAGGAAGGAAGGAAGGAAGGAAGGAAGGAAGAAAGGAAGGAAGGAAGGAAGGAAGGAAGGAAGGAAGGTTATAATGAGAGTGAGGGAGGGAAGTCCTGCCTTAGTACTTGGCCACCACAGGTGCCCCCGACATGGTCCTGTGTCACGCCCACTATGGCCATGTCCACCCACCCACCTACACCACACCATGGCCCGGCCCTCCGAGGTCAAACACAACTTTGATGCGGCCCTCAATGAAATCGAGTCAGACACCCCTGGCCTAAGTGCTGGAAGACAATGATGTCTTCTCTTTCTCTTTGATAGGCTAGACATAACCTAGCTAATAAAACTGACACAGAATTAGTAACATGTGTTCCAGTGGTTTTTATCCTGCCAACATCTGGACAGCCCTTTCTTGAACACCTTCCGGAGGCAGCTGTACTTAAGACTGCATTGCAACAGTATAAGCAGAGATCACGAAGTTTAAAAAAAAGATAAATCTGATTTTAGACAGTATCACAGCTGGCGTAGCAGTCCAAGCTGGTGAGAGCTGGTGGACTGTCCACCTGCACTTCTGCAAAGTGAGTTGAGTTCATATTACAAGAGCCTTGGTTCCGCAGCAGACTAAAGCACTGTTAAGTAACACCAGCTGCCTGCAATTACTGCGAGTTCAAATCTCACCAGGCTCAAGGTTGACTCAGCCTTCCATCCTTTCGAGGTAGGTAAAATGAGGACCCAGATTGTGGGGGCAATAAGCTGACTTTGTATAAAAAAGAACACCACTTAGAGGGGACTGAAAGCCCTACTAAGCAGGTATATACAAAAGTATGAAGGCTATTGCTTAACACATTGTAAGCCGTCCTGAGTCTCCAGAGAAGGGCGGCATATAAATCGAACCAATAAATAAATAAATATGAATTTGGTTCCTCATGGACAGGACAACCCCAATCAACACAAGCTTCGGTCCCTTATACAGAACATCCAAGTGAAATCTTGTCTGGATTAAACTTCAGTTTCTTTCCCTTTACCCATTGTACAAAAACAGGAACTGGTGGAAGGTCAACCAAAGTCAACGCGCAACTCCTCGGAGAGCCACTTCTTCTTCTTCCACACTTACACAAAGGTGGTGAGCTTCAAGAGGAGATTCAACACAAGGCCACCCTGATCAGCTTGCTTTTGTTTCCACAGTGTGTCCAAGTGGACGATACGGGAAGGACTGTGCTGAGTTGTGTTTGTGTACAAACAATGGGACCTGCAATCCTACAGATGGCTCTTGCCAGTGTTTCCCAGGATGGATCGGCAAAGATTGCTCACAAAGTAAGAGAAACCCATCATCTTTTTAGTTTGCATACCGTTGCAGCAGTGGTGGGTTTCAAAATTTTTTACTACCGGTTCTGTGGGTATGGAATGGTGGGCATGGCATGGCTTGGTGGGCGTGGCTTGGTGGGTGTGGCATGGGAAGGATACTGTAAAATCTCCATTCCCTCCCCAATCCAGGGGAAGGTTACTGCAAAATCCCCATTTCCTCCTAATCAGCTGGGACTCGGGAGGCAGAGAATAGATGAGGGCGGGGCCAGTCAGAATTTGTACTACCGGTTCTCCGAACTACTCCAAATTTCCGCTACCGGTTCTCCAGAACTGGTCAGAACCTGCTGAAACCCACCTCTGCATTGCAGCAATTTTCTTTTAAGGTTACCGATGTATATTTAGGTAGGTTTTAATTTAAAGTATTTTGCTAGCAGAAGCCACTTATTTAGGTTCACTTTCTGGAATGTTAGTTCTCTGATTCTTAATTCATGGGTTGCGTTCCCTGGACCGGCTTAAGCTGATTGTGAGTTAACCCAGTGGTGGGATTCAAATAATTTAACAACAGGTTCTCTGCCCTAATGACCCGCTGGGTGGGCGTGGCCATGGTGGGTGTGGCCAGGGACTGTGACAGGCAGCACTCGGCCTCCTGCACCCCTCTGGAAGCAAAAACGATCCATGGGGGGGAATGTGCTGCCCCCCACCACCACCCCAGTCACTCCATTTTGGGCCTAGTAGGCCTCCCTGCACTTGCCTGAGAGCCAAAATGGAGTGCATGGGGACTCCTGGAAGGAGCAGGGAGGGGAGGGAAGGGACCAGACAGCAATTTAACTACCGGTTTGGCTGAACCGGCTGAATCCCACTACTGAGTTAACCCATCTTCAACATCTGCATACTATATGGCTGCATAATTTTTTTCAGATGAGCAGGATTCAGACCAAAACAACCATTAACCATATTTGCTGCAATCCAAGCTTAGTATGTTAGAATCATAGTCTGGGAAGGGACCTTAGAGGTCTTCTAGTCCAACCCCCTGCCCAAGGCAGAAGATCAAGGAAACTCATCAAGGAGAGAAGCAACTTAGAACTAAGGAGAAATTTCCTGACAGTGAGAACAATTAATCAGTGGAACCACTTGCCTGCAGAAGTTGTGAATGCTCCAACATTGGAAATTTTTAAGAAGATGTTGGATAACCATTTGTCTGAAGTGGTGTAGGGATTCCTGCCTGGGCAGGGGGTTGGACTAGAAGACCTCCAAGGTCCCTTCCAACTCTGTTATTCTATTTCTATTTCTATCTTATACAATGTCAATGTTCAATGAATGCATCTGGTAGCGACCATGGAGAAGATAAATAATTTCTTGAAGTGTCTTGAAACTGTTGAGGGATAACAATATATTTGTAAGTAGTCCTCGATTTACAACGGCTCGTTTAGTGACCATTCAAAGTTACAGCAGCACTGGGAAAAAGCGACGTCTGTTTTTCACACTTACGACCGTTTGCAGCAACCCTACGGTCACGTGATCAAAATTCAAACGCTCGGCAACTGGTTCATACTTATGACGGTTGCAGGGTCACGTGATCCCCTATTGGGACTTTCTGACCAGCAAAGTCAACGGGGAAGCCAGATTCACTTAACAACGGGGTTACTAACGTGACAATTGCAGTGATTCAACTTAACAACTGTGGCAAGAAAGGGGGGGGCAAAACTCACTTAACAACAGAAATGTTGGGCTCAATTGTGGTCGTAAATCGAGGACTACCTGTATCCACAACACTGCAGATTAGGTTAAAGGAAATCTCTAAATGGACAGAGGATGAGTAATCATCCTCTATTTCTGATCCCGAGATGATGTTTATTGATGCCATCTGGTTCCCGTCCGAATCTTCCCTATGAAAATTGCCCTTCGTTCATGTATCTTATTGGAAATGCATGATTGGTTATTTCATGTCAATGCTTGTTTAATCAAAAGCTTCCTGTCGGGACACGCAGCCCAATTTATTGGTTCTTGAGGAACATCATTGCTAGAATTACTCGTGAATAGTCTATTAATTGCCCCCAAAGAGTTTCTCCTAATTACTGCTTAATGGCAATTTGTAGAGGAGGGGGAGAGATTTAATTACAAAATCCTTCCTATACCCCCCTCTATAGGATATTATTTCACTTCATAAATATGGAACCCATAAAAATGGAGGGGAGGGCAGGAAGACCCTTTAATACGATTTTCCCACCATGCCAGGAACAGAAATAAGGGACAATTAAGAGGACCATCGGAAAAAAAATAATAATTATCTAGTTGTTCATTGTTAATTTCCCAGCTGTGCTCAACAGGAAGCAACAGAAGGGCACGACCGGAAGGCAGGAAGCCTTTAATTAAGGTTGGAAGGGAGCTTAGTTGGAGAATTATTTCTGAATAAACATCATAGGAAACTCTCCAAACTCTCCTGCATGAAGAGCAGGGCAGGGATAGGACTTCGGATTTAATTTCCATTGTGAGCTGATGGGGGAAACAGTGCCTTGGCCACATTTTTTGGAGAGAAAACCAATGTTTCAAATGCACATTCACACTCCACTCTACACAATAAGATTATTTGTATTGTCTCCATTAGAGAGTGGTGTGGTGGCCTCGTAATCAGGAGGCAGTGGTGGGTTTCAAATTTTTTTACTACCGGTTCTGTGGGTGTGGCTTGGTGGGCGTGGCGTGGCTTGGTGGGCGTGGCATGGCTTGGTGGGCGTGGCTTGGTGGGCGTGGCAGGGGAAGGATACTGTAAAATCTCCATTCCCTCCCCACTCCAGGGGAAGGATACTGCAAAATCCCCATTTCCTCCCAATCAGCTGGCACGTGGGAGGCAGAGAATAGATGAGGGTGGAGCCAGTCAGAATTTTTACTACCGGGTCTCCAAACTACTCAAAATTTCCACTACCGGTTCTCCAGAACTGCTCAGAACCTGCTGAAACCCACCTCTGTCAGGAGGCTGTGAGTTCGATCCTAGGTAGAGGCAGATATCTCTCTCTCTGGGCACATTGAGAATATATCTCAAGAGCCTTGGTGGTGCAGCGGACTAAGTGCTGTTATGTAGCACTTAGCTGCCAGATGCCTGCAATTAGTGCGAGTTCAAATCTCACCAGGCTCAAGGTTGACTCAGCCTTCCATCCCTCCGAGGTAGGTGAATTGAGGACCCGGATTGTGGGGGCAATAAATTGACTTCGTAGAAACACCGCTTATGGTGGGGCCAAAAGCCCTAATAAGCAGGTATATACAAAAGAATGAAGGCTATTGCTATAAGTGCATTGTAAGCTGCCCTGAGTCTCCAGAGGAGGGCGGCATATAAATTGAACTAATAAAATAAAAATAAATAAATAAATATCTGCTGAATATAACTCTGCATTGGTGACAGGAAAGGCATCCGGCCAGTAAACAGTCAGCTCCGTTGAGTTGCCCAGACTTTACCCCGCAAGGGATTATGGGATTGCTAAAAGGAGATGATATTGTCTCCATTACAGCAGCGGTTCCCAATCTTTCTGGAATGGTGGGGGAGGGGGAAAGGGGATGGTTCTGTGTGAGCAGCATTTGCGTGTGCTTGTGCATGCAACTCCATTTGTGGGAGCGGTGGGTGTGCGTGCACCAGCTGCTCGCCCAAATGGAGCTTTGCGTGTTACCATGAGCACTCATTGCTCGCACAAGTGGAGTTGCACACACATTCACCCCACTGCTTGCACAACTCAGTTCCAAATAGGCCAGAGCCTGGTAGTGAGCTGTGGCCCAGGGTTGGGGACCCCTGTCTTTATTTATTTATTTATTTATTATTTATTTTTAAACATAAACATAAAATACATCTTTTCAAAACGAAGCATTGATCCAGTCATAAATTGATACAAATCACTAACAAATCTTAATTTTCAATTAACCCAACTTAATATTTTACTCAATTATTTCCCTAAATTCTGTCTATTTAACAATGCCGTTATTCCAAAAACCTGTTACTTAAATCTTTAAATCCTAACCAAATATCATTTCATTTTTCTTTTTCTTTTTGCTTAGCTGAATGTATTTTAAAAATATAAATCATTACAATTATTTTCAGCATTTAAACAATATTTTAACTGTTGCTCCCAATATAATCATCTTCATTGCTGTTTATCCCAACATAATCATCCTAATTATAATTATTAATCCCAATATAATCATCTTATTTTTACCGCTAATCCTAGCACAATCATCTTTATTTTAACTGTTTATCCCAACACATCATCTTCATCTTCATCATCATCTTTTACTGTTAATCCCAGCATAATCATCTTTATTTTTAGTGTAGGGACCCCTGTCTTTAGAGGACTATTGCTAAAATTGCAAAGGTCCTTTTTTCGTCTGATACCTCTGCAACTAAATTTACACAAAGACCCCAATAAATAATAAAGAGGGATCTTGGAGTCTTAGTGGATCACTTGAATATGATCCAGCAGTGTGCAACAGCAGCAGCCAAAAAAGCCAATACAGTCCTGGTTTGTATAAACAGGCATAGAATCAAGATCACATGAAGTATTAGTACTGCTTTATAAAGCCCTCGTAAGGCAACACCTGGAATCCTGCATCCAGTTTTGGTCACCACATTACAAAAAAAGATGTTGAAACTTTGGAAAAAGTGCAAATAAGAGCAACTAAGATGATTAAAGGCCTGGAGACTAAAACATTTGAAGAACGGCTGCAGGATTTGGGTTTGGCCAGTCTAGAGAAAAGAAGAACTGGGAGGGGGACATGATAGCAGTATTCCAGTATTTGAGGGGCTGCCACAAAGAGCCAAGGTGGCGCAGTGGTTAGAGCTACAGTACTGCAGCTACTTCAGCTGACTGCTAGTTCAGCAGATCAGCGGATCAAATCTCACCGGCTCAAGATTGACTCAGCCTTCCATCCTTCCGAGGTGGGTAAAATGAGGACCCAGATTGTTGGGGGCAATATGCTATTTGGTATACTGTCTTTGGTGTAAGCCGCCCAGAGTCCTCGGAGAGTGGGTGGCATAGAAATAATAATAATAATAATAATAATAATAATAATAATAATAATAACAACAACAACAACAACAACAACAACAACAACTTATTCTCCAAAGCACCTGAGGGCAGGACAAGAAACAATGCTTCGAAACTAGTCAAAGAGAGAAGCAACCTGGAATTAAGGAGAAACTTCCTAACAATGAAGACAATTGACTGGAGGCAAGGAACAGCTTGCCTCCAGAAATCGTGGGCGCTTCACTGGAGGTTTTTAAGCAGAAACTAGACAGTCACTTATCTGAAATGGTATAGATTCTCCTGCTTGAGCCTGGGGCTGGACTAAAAAACCTTCAAGGTCCCTTCCAGTTCTATTCCATTCCATTCTATTCTCCTTCTTTCCTTCTCCTCCTCCTCCATTCCATTCCATTCCATTCTATTCTATTCTATTCTATATGAAAAGGGTGCCTTTCAACCAAGCAACTATACCTATTTTACAAAATTTTTAAGTTGGCCAAGAGTTCTACTTGAATCTTTCACCCATAAGAGGTTTTCCACTTAATACGCTGCCTTAATCCACCCAAAAGACCAGGATTTTTTTTAAAAAATTGTTTTAAAGGAAAGGCGATTCTTTTCAAACCTTTCCTGAATAAAATAATTAAGCTATTGACCATTCTGTACGGTGCAGTCCATGTTTTTTTTTTTTTTTAAATTTGATTTATATGCCGCCCTTCTCCGGAGACTCAGGGCGGCTTACAATGCGTTAAGCAATAGCCTTCATTCTTTTGTATATTTTATACAAAGTCAGTTTATTGCCCCCATAATCCGGGTCCTCATTTTACCTACCTTAGAAAGGATGGAAGGCTGAGTCAACCTTGAGCCTGGTGAGATTTGAACTTACTAATTGCAGACAGCTGGAGTTAAATTACAATGCATTAGTCTGCTGAGCTATCCAGGCTCAGATAGCTATAGTTGCTATAGATAGAAGGGAAATTCTTTTACAGTTCCCTTTACGTGTAATGTACTTGTTAGCGTCTGAGAAACGCAGGTAGTCATTTTTTCTAAATTGCCCAGACAGAAGATTGACATCTGCGGATCCTAAAAGGGGCATTTTCGAAACAAGACCTTCACCAGAGAAGAGACATTGCAGGGAACACCAGCATGTCCCCAGAATTGTTTCCCCCCCCCCCATATTCACTCTGCAGCAGGGGATATTAAACAGCATTTGTTGCAAAATACATAAAACCTCCAGTGATACAGTAGGGATTGGATAAAAACAGACAGCTGCAATTTTGCTTTTATTGTAGGTCTTCCGTGAGTTCAATACGGCTGTCAATCAAAATAAAAATTAGGCAGGCTATCAATTTCGTGGGTGGTTACTTTTCGAAAAGGCTTGAGAAATTCCTCTGCATTCCTGCTAAATTGGGCCAGTGGCAAATACATACATACATACATACATACATACATACATACATACATACATACATACATACATATATATATATATATATAAAAACAGGGGTGAAATCCAGCAGGTTCTGACAGATTCTGGAGAACCGGTAGCGGAAATTTTGAGCACTTTGGAGAATCAGCAAATACCACCAAGAATGGGGTGGGAATGGAGATTTTGCAATATCCTTCCCCCAGGAGTGGGGAGGGAATGAGGATTTTGCAGTATCCTTCTCTTGGAGTGGGGTGGGAATGGAGATTTTGCAGTATCCTTCCCTTGGAGTGAGATGGGAATGGAGATTTTGCAGTATCCTTCCCCTGCCATGCCCACCAAGCCACACCCACAAAACCGGTAGTAAAAATAATTCGGATTTCACCACTGATATAAAGGGATTGTGAAACGCCAGAATGTTTGGGTGGCTTGAAGCCAGGATGATTGGTTAAACAAGCCATTATATGTGTTTATTTGTGCACTTTGTCCATCTTCTCAATCTTAGCAGGATCTAGGCAGCTTCACGTAATGTGGGAACCTGCTTAATACTTGATGTAGTTCAGGACAGCATTTTCTTGCCCTAAAAATGCTGCATCAATTTCAGAATAGCCAATAAGCTTCATTTTCATTCCATTCTTAAGCCTGCCAGCTTCGAAATCTTATTTCTCCCATTTCTGCATCAATTTTTACACATAGTTGTGTGCGCTCTTTCCTTGCAATTTAGTTTGTTAACACAATGTGGCCTAATACCACACAGGTTCATGGCTTTTCTCCAGTGGTGAAATGCTACCGGTTCTCACCGTTTCGGGCAAACCGGTAGTGATAAAATCTACAGGTTCATTCGAAACGGTATTTCTGACAATCAGCTGTGCCATGTGATTTATATTCGCTAGAACACAGGAAATCCTGCTTTCTAACGAATCTAAATCGCGCAGGACAGCTGTCCCCCCCCCCCTCACTGTTCTACTTACCATATTTTTCAGAGTATAAGACGCACCTTTTTCCCCAAAAAAAGAGAATGAAAATCTGGGTGCGTCTTATACTCCAAATGTAGCCCCACCCAGCTTCTCAAACGGAGGCTGAAAAAAGCATCAGAAAAGAAGCTTCAGAAAAGAAGCCCCCAAACAGAGCTTCAGTGTCTTTTTTTCTGAAGCTCTGTTTCGGAGGCTTTCAGAGGCAGGAAAAAAGTTTTTTCTGAAACAGAGTTTCAGCAAAGCAAAAAAAAAGCAAGGCACAGAACTCACAACCAAGGAACCTGTTGCTAAAATTCACCTCTGGGAACAGCTGATTGGGGGTATTCTGGGAGGTTGATCCAATCAGCTTTTTTTTTATTTTCCTCCCCAAAAACTAAGGTGCGTCTTATACTCTGAAAAATACGGTACCTTGTTAAGCCTCCTTTTTCCGCGTGAAGCACGCGTTTGGCATGCACTGCACATGTGCACCCAGTGTGCTTTTGGCGCGCGCCACGCATTAGCTGGCAGCAATCCGCGGAGGATTTCACCACTGCTTTTCCCCTAATATAACAAGTTTTCACAGATTATTCAGAAATCCTTTCGCAGGTCTTCCTGTTCTCCCGTTTATATTTTTAGGTAGGTTTTGTGGTTTGGAGAACTGTCAGGTATGAAGCAGGGCTGATCTTTCAATACGCGGCTGTTTGGCTTCTGGTATTGCTCTGAAAAGGAATGAAGTGGGGTCAATGTTAAATGCAAGATTCCTTTTGTATCTTGGCCCTGCCATCCTGAGGGGAGAGATTTCAGTGCATCAGTGGTGGGTTCCTCCTGGTTCGGACCGGTTCCGTCTAGCCAGTAGCGGTGACGATATGATGTCACTGAACCGGTTCTGCCCCCCCGCGTTATTTTTACCTTTTATTTGGCCCCATCCCCAATCTATTGCTGCCTCCTGAGTCCCAGCTGATTGGCTAGAAGGAAAAAAACTGTTTAAACTCTTGCCACGGGGCTTCAAAGGGCTGCCCTACAGCTGATCAATGTTAAAAGAAAACAAATGAGTAGACCGGTGCCTGCAAAAATAAATGGGTAGACCAGTGCCTCCAAAAACAAATGAGTAGACCGGTACAGTTCTGCAAGCAGTTAAAAGCCTGGTAGACCAGTACCTGGTAGACCAGTATCTCTGCTAAAGAGCCTTGATAGTACAGTGGTCTACGCACCCTGTTATTAACACAGCTGCCTGCAATTATTGTGAGTTCAATTCTCACCAAGCTCAAGGTTGACTCAGCCTTCCATCCTTTCTAAGGTAGGTGAAATGAGGACCCGGATTGTGGGGGCAATAAGCTGACTTTGTATAAATATACAAAAGTATGAAGGCTATGGCTTAACGCCTTGTAAGCCGCCCTGAGTCTCCAGAGAAGGGCGGCATATAAATCAAATTAAAAAAAAAAATCCTAAAGAATTGTCACATGCCCACAAAATAAGCCATGCCCACAGAACCAGTAGTAAAAAAATTTAGAACCCACCCCTGCAGTGCATGTACAGAGTGTATCTATCTCTGCGGAAGAAGCTGCTGAACTACAGCTGTTTGATGAAAATAGTTAAAATAGTTAAAAGTGTCCAGTTCTGGTCATCACAACACAAAAAAAAAAGATGACAAGACATTCTGCCTAGAATTAAGGAGAAATTTCCTGACAGTGAGAACCTCTAATCAATGCAACAGCTTAATTCCAGAAGTTGTGGATGCTCCATCACTGGACAGTTGAAGAGAAGAGACTGGACAGTTATTTGTCTGAAAAGGTATAGGGTCTCCTGCTTGAGCAGGGGTTGGTCTAGAAGACCTCCAAGGACCCTTCCAACCTTATTATTCTACTTTCTAAATACTTTTTGCTTTCAAGGATGGAAATATATATTCTCTTTTTCTCTCTATTTTCTCTCTTTCTCTCTGTCACCAGCTTGTCCAGTGGGCTTTTGGGGAAGCGATTGTTTTCACTCGTGCAGTTGTCACAATGGTGGGACGTGCAGCCCCCAGAACGGAGAATGCCGATGTACCCCTGGCTGGACGGGTCCCTACTGTTCGCAGAGTAAGACTTTGAGAGGTTCCTGCTGGGAAGATTTCTGCAAGAAGTGTGCACTGCCCCCTAGTGTCTTCTCTGAGCATTTTTGGAGTTGCTATAAGTCGAACTGCAGCCAAAACAAGCCACTTTCTCCAAACCAGAGCAAATAAAACCCAGAAAACATAAATCAATCCTAACAAGTGAACAACAAAAAAAAAGAGAGAGAGAGAGTGGCACATAGCATTTTCATTTCCCCAGTACAGATTCTTGGTGATCTTTGAAGCCAATCCTGAAAAACTCCTCAAAGTTGTGATTAAGAAACGGCAGGGCTGTTGGGTTTAAGAGAAACCTCAAAATCATGTTTGGGCTTATTAACAGTCCAAACCAGGACTGTCCAACCTTGGACATGTGGACTTCAACTCCCAGAATTTAAGACATGTGGACTTCAACTCCCAGAATTCCCTAGGCAGCTTTGCTGGGAGTTGAAGCCCATATATCTTAAAGGATGCTGGCTAAGGAATTCTGGGAGTTGAAGTCCGTCCATCTTAAAAGATGCTGGCTGGGGAATTCTGGGAGTTTCAGTCCACGTACCTTAAAGGATGCTGGCTGGGGAATTCTAGGAGTTGAAGTCCACTGGCTGGGGAATTCTGGGAGTTGAAGTCCACATACCTTAAAGTTGCCAAGGTTGAGAAACACTGGCCCAAACCATTTTCCCAACCTTGCGGAGATGTTGGGTTACAAATCCCATCATCCCCTGCTATACCTTAAGAGTCGAATCTGGTTACTGGTCTAAGCTCCCCCAGCAAAGGCCATGGTTAAGGGGAACCTGGAGACTAATTTCAATTGCTTGACTTCTTCCTGTGTCCTTTCTGGATCCCAACCCACCAGGATGTCCAGCTGCCTTTTATGGAAAGAACTGTGCCAACGTCTGCCAGTGCCAGAACGGGGCCGACTGCGACCACATCACCGGGCAGTGCACCTGCAGAACTGGCTTCACCGGAAAACAGTGCGAGCAGAGTAAGTTTGGGGGGATGGACAGCCTCTGATCTAGTAGACCTGACTTGTTAGGGGGTTTTAGGGTGCATTCAGTAACCCCAAAGAAAAAAACAGACAGTTCTGTGCTGTGGAAGACAGAGCATCTGTGTGGCTGAATTCATACAACCATCTCATCATCCTCAGAAATGGGCATTTTGTATTCTGGGCTGCAGTCATTCCCTCCCTCCCTCCTTCCTTCCTTCCTTCCTTCTTTGCTTGCTTCCTTCTTTCCTTCCTCCCTCCCTCCCTTTTCCTTCCTCCCTCCCTCCTTCTCTCCCTCCTCCCTCCCCCCCTTCTATCCATCCATCCATCCTTCTTTCCTCCCTCTCTCTCCCTTCCTTCCTTCCTCCCTCCCTCTCTTGATGTATCTGCAAAGCCTTGGGTCAAAGAGGAATGCGGAGAGCTTGGCTGGTGTCCCCAAAATTTTCCCACTCGCGTAGCAGAGTCACCAGCTGGTTTACAGCCGGCCCCTTCATTTCTTATTGAATATCGCCCAAAGAAACACAATAAGCTGTCGCCAGATTTATTGTCGCCATCACGGTAATTGTATGAATAAATTTTGTCACTGGCCATTCAATCATGTTCCCTCTGATAGAATTATGGGGAACCAAATGTTGGCAGTCTGGAGAGAGAACAAGGGGGAAACGGAAACATAAAAATTTTGATGGCCTCAGGGCCAACTTCGGTTCGGAGGGTCCCTGGAGAAGACACTCCTTTAGCAGGGACCCTGCCTGGCTTGTCTTGCTCAAGGCTGCAGGACCTCAAACCCTGAAGAAATACATTTCTCCTAGAGACTTGAGAGCGACCTTCAGAGTTTTCCAAAAATTCTTTCAAATTTTTCATGCTTAGCGTTACAGAAGGGAAAACATTGACTCTATTAAGAGCAACACTTTAAACTGCATTTAAGTTGCTTGTGGAAATTAAATTACAATCCGTCAAATGCAATTGTGCAGGTTGCAGTTGGGGGATTTCCCTGTGTGCCCTGAAGGGATACTCCCTAGGGGCACAATGGGAAATCCATTGAGAAACCGGATCTGGCAGCCTGATGCTGTTAAGGGTAGCCAGCGTTGAAGGGGAAGGCAAAAGATGGTTTAAGAAAGTGGTGGCCTCTTTTATTGAGAAGGTACACCATCATCTCAGTGGACTCCAGTGAACCCAGACATGTCTCTATGCCCAAAAACTCCCTTACACATTTTTCCCTGTTAATTCTCATTGAATTTGATGAACAAGCATTTGCTTTTGAAAAGGTTTTGGAGGAGAAAATGTGGATCATCATCATCTTTTAACGATCCCCATAATCCCTTGTGGGCCAGAGTCTGAATGGAGCTAGCAGAGCGTTGAATAGCCAGATGCCCTTCCTGTCACCAATGTGGAGTTTTGTTCAGCAGATATATTCCCAATGTGCCCAGAGAGAGAAATATCTGCCTCTACCTAGGATAGAACTCACGGCCTCCTGACTGTGAGGCGAGAGCTCCACCTCTAGGCCATCGCACCACTCCCTTGTTCTTCGCCTTTATTTAGTGGTCAGGGAGAGGAGGACAGCCCTCTGCAGCCTCTCTGGGTCTCACAAAATCTCAGGGGGATATTGAAGCTTCAGCGTTATGGAAAAGGTATCAGAAAGAAGGTCACCAACTGTAGCCCCCCTAATGAGAACAGTCACTCAAAACCAAAAATGGAAATACAGCTGGCTGGGAATTTTGGGAAATGAAATCCACCCATCTTAAAAGTGGCCAAGATTAGAAAAATACTGTCCCTACAGGAAGGAATGCTGTGTGGTTTACCTGAGTTTTTTTCCTAACTAGCATCTTCCATTGCAAAAAGAATAACTAGATTGGCAAAATGCTGGGCTGTTTTTCCCAGACTTTTTTTTTATTTTTATTTTATTTAGTTTGTCAAACGTGTACAAGATAACAGGTATAAGTATAAACATGGACATGAGTACATGAAATGAATACAGATAAATGGGGACAGTAGGACAGGGACGGTAGGCACGCTGGTGCGCTTATGCACGCCCCCTTTACGGACCTCTTAGGAATGGGGTGAGGTCCACGGTAGACAGTTTGAGGTTGAAGCTATGAGGGTTTGAGGAAGTAACAATGGAGTCAGGTAGAGCATTCCAGGCATTTACCACCCTGTTGCTGAAGTCGTACTTTCTGCAATCAAATTTGGAACGGTTTACCTTGAGTTTGTATCTATTGTTTGCCCGTGTATTGTTGTGGTTGAAGCTGAAGAAGTTGTTGACAGGTAGGACGTTGTAGCAGACAATTTTGTGTACGATGCTTAGGCCATATCAAAGTGCCATAGTTCCAGGTTGTCTAAGCCCAAAATTTCGAGCCTGGTGGCATAAGGGATTCTGTTGTGAGTAGAGGAGTGGAGGACTTTTCTCGTGAAATACTTCTGGATGCGCTCGATTGTATTAATGTCCAATATACAGTGTGGATTCCAGGCAGACGAGCTGTATTCGAGAATTGGTCTGGCGAAGGTTTTGTATGCCCTAGTTAGCAGTACAGTGCTACCAGAAAAGAAGCTTCGCAAAATTAAGTTAACAACTCTTTTTTTCACTTTGCATTTTCAGAGTGTCCGCAAGGAACGTTTGGTTACGGCTGCCAGCAGCTCTGCGAATGCATGAATAACGCCACCTGTGACTATGTTACAGGGACCTGTTACTGCAGCCCCGGGTTCAAAGGGATCAGGTGCGATCAAGGTGAGGCAACTCCTTCTCTCTCTCTTCCCCTGCTTTTTTTCCTTTTCAACGGAGCCTTCAACTCGGGCCATTCTTCCAGAACAGTTCAAAAACACACACACACCCAAAAAATGTTTTATACCCTGGAAGAAATTCACACGGGAGGGGGAAAAAGGCAGGGTTGGTAGACTATCTGGCTTTGGCTCGACCTTTTTTCCATGAGGACTAGAAACTGGAAACTGAAGGAAAGCTGAAATGCTGAGGTTTAACAGATGTGGCACAATATGGAGGTAGAGACCCAGTCATGCATCAAGGGAAGGCATTTACTTCCTTAGAATAAAACTGTCCGAATTCAGAGGCCATCGTATATCATAGTGCAGGCCAGAGGTGGGATTCACTTACCTTCCCTACCGGTTCGCAAACGTGAGCTCTGGGCATGTGCACCACCTTCTGTGCATGTGCAGTGCTCATACATTACATCCAGCCAGATGGGCGGAGCCTCCCACGGTCATCATTACCGATTCACCCGAACCGGACAGAACTGGCTGAATCCCACCACTGGTGCAGGCCCAGGTGTGCAGATGCGTGACTTCTCCCATGGGAGCTGCATTGGCTGCCAATTTACTTCCGGGTGCAATTCAAGGTGCTTTAAAGCTCTCCATGGTTTAAAGACCAGGTTATCTGAGGGACCATCTCTTCCCACTCACCTCTACCCAACCCAACAGAGTGGGGAGGCAAGGAATTTTGTAGGTCCCCACTCCTGGGCAGCTACATCTAGCAAGACCCAGAAGGGCCTTCTCGGTGGTGGCTCCCTCCCTCCCTCCCTTTGGAACATCATCCCCACAGATATTAGACTGCCCCCCACCCCACACTTTGAAACGCTTTCACAAGGCCCTGAAAGGCTCTGGTTTTAGCAACAGGCCTGGGGAACCCAACGTGGGATAAAGCCCATTAAATGGCTTGCTTGATTGCGTGTTGTCACCAGATTGTGTGCTGTCACCCCTCCATGGGGGAGGGGGTATTGTTTTTTATTCTTTTTATATTGGGTTTTTGACTTTTTGTAAGCCGTCTAGGGCAGAGGTCACCAACCTTGGCAACTTTAAGCTTGGTGGACTTCAACTCCCAGAATTCTTACTCTCCTGTAAGAATTCTGGGAGTTGAAGTCCCCCAGGCTTAAAGTTGCCAAGGTTGGAGACCCCTGGCCTAGAGTCAGTATGAGTGAGTGAGCAGCCATATAAATCTTCTAAATAAATAAAATAAAATAAATTGTCCTGTTTGGGACATTCCTTCCCTCCCAAATATCTCCCAGAAGGATGTCTAAAGGCGGCTCAAAATAAGTCAACATGGGTGCCACGAGTAGGAGCCATGGCTAGGCACAGTGCAAGGAGAAAAAGTTGGAGCTTTGCTGCCACTTTTGTGGGCCCTCGTCTTGACTTTTTGACTGCCCCTTTGCAGATCCTCCTGTCCCTTGCATTTCATTAAGGCAGATTTGCCTAGAACCACTGGGAGAAGTCATCTGCGTAGGACTGGTTTCCTCCCCCCCCCCAATAAGGCACAGTGGCTACAATGCAGTATTGCAGGCTAATTCTGCCCACTGTCAGCAGTTCGATCATGACCGGCTCAAGTTTGACTCAGTCTCCCATCTTTCTGAGGTCGGTAAAATGAGGACCCAGATGGTTGGGGGCAAGAGCAGCCTCTGTAAACCGCTTAGCGAGAGCTGCGAAGCTCTGTGAAGTGGTATATAAGTCTAAATTGCTATTGAAGTGAATCAAAAGCTGGCACGTGGGGCAGAGATTCACCTTTTAAAATCATGAAATGGGAGGAAGGCCATTTCTTTGGGCTAGCTGAGATTTCCTTCCAACTGGCATGGGGGCCCAAAGAGTAGCTCTGCAGATATTGCCAGACCACATCTCCCAGCATCCCTCGCTCTTGGCCCCCGCGGGCTGGCGCTGCTGGGAGTTGTAGTCCGCTGACCCGTTTCAGACAAGCTGATGGAAAAGCTTTAAGAACTGTAATCCCCGTAATAGCTGGCCCTTTCTTGCAACCTGGCCTCCGCCACTTAATTTAATGGTGCATTGTGAATTATTTTTAACAGCGGCTCTCATGATGGAAGAATTAAATCCCTATACTAAAATTAGCCCAGCTCTTGGATCTGAGAGGCATTCAGTGGGAGCAATCTCTGGAATTATTATCCTCCTGCTAATTATTATGGTTTTGCTGGCACTGTTTGTGTGGTATCGACGTAAGCAGAAGAAAGGGCACGACATGCCAAGCGTCTCGTACACTCCGGCCATGAGGATGACCAACACCGATTACTCACTCTCCGGTAAGGAGTTTGGGGGTGAGGGCCGCTTCGGCTAAAAGGGAGGGGAAGTTTTATCTGTCGGATACGGGGGCTGCTTTTCCCTGTGGCTAGCTAAATTCTTTTTTATTTTATTTTATTCAGAAAAATAAAGTACAATGGGGGGGAATTTATAAAGACAAAACAAAACTAGTCAAAAAAGGTGTGAGTTAAAAAGACAAAAATAAAAACACATATTATTCCCCCCCCCCCAGTTGGACATTAGCAAATATATTGCAACAATAATAGCTTCAAACCTTACGAAACAGGACCAAGGTTTATAAATTTTTTGCATGTATTTAAAATCCAGTTTGACCTGTCATACATTATACATACATACAGTATATACCCATACATATACATGTATGTATGTATTTGAAGAAAAAATAGTTAACAGGTTAATCAACAGCAAAGTTGGATAAAAAAGTTGTATGCTGCAAACAATAAAGATGTATAAATGTGACTATTTAAACATAATTGTACCCAGAACACACAGTTTGATGAAAATTGAATATTATATAAATAAAACAAATAAAACTTGGGGAGGGGGAATCAACAGCAAACTTCAAAGCCCTCTGCTAACAATCTGTTATTGTAATTAACTCGTAGAAAGTCTACAAAAGTATCTTAGCTACCACAGATCATTCCGACAGCACTGGCTAACTTCATAGAGCCCTGGTGGCACCGTGGTTAGAATGCAGGATTGCAGGCTAACTCACTGCCCACTGCCAGGAGTTCGATCCTGACCGGCTCAAGGTTGACTCAGCCTTCCATCCTTCCGAGGTGGGTAAAATGAGGATCCAGATTGTTGGGGGCAAGAGGCTGACTCTGTAAACTGCTTTACAGGGTGAAGTGGTATATAAATCTTTTTTAAAAAATATATATTTTTTAATTTTTCTAATTTGAACATTTCATCTTCCATTAAACTGTGTTGTCTGGGTACAAATATCTCTGTGCAATCAGGATTTACGGTGTTCATGACATTGATATTAATTCTCTAATCTTACAATAATAATAATAAGCATAATAAACCTATTCATTTCTCCCTCTTAACGTATCTTCTAATAAGAATATAATAGTAACATTAAACACAATAGTCTTAACAATCATATTTGTAAGATCATATTGTTTACATCTCTGTCTTAACATATTTTCTATATTTCATTGATCTCCATTTATTTCTAACTTCTGTTTTTGTTCTCCATCCATCCATAAAATAGCTCCCAGTGGTATATAAATCTTAAGTGCTGTTGCTATTACTATTCATTCCCCCCAATCTTTGTTTGGAAATGGGGATGAACTGGGAAAGCAGGGAGAAGGCAGAGGAGCAAAATGAATAACCGTCAACATGTTTCTAGTGGTTTGCAGTGACAGTTTTCCAAGGTTTGGTCTTGTCTAAGCAAGTGGCTTGGAGTTCTCCATGGCAGATCAATGCTCCTTTTTCAAATTCAGGTTTTCTAGAACAGGGGTCTCCAACCTTGGCAACTTTAAGCCTGGAGGACTTCAACTCCCAGAATTCCCCAGCCAGCAAAGTTGGGAATTCTGGGAGTTGAAGTCCACTAGGCTTAAAGTTGCCAAGGTTGGAGACCCCTGCTCTAGAAGGGATTCCCATCATCCCTTACTTAACATTGGTGGTTTAGAGGTGATCTTGAAGCAATTTTCAGTTCCTTGAGTGGAGGTTGTCCTCTTGAAACAGGGGCACTACCTCACCTCCAGCATCTCTGCCCTGGTTACTTCCAGTTTGGTTGTCTCCAAACTTAAAACTTCTGGACTTCAACTTCCAGAATGCTAGCTGGGGAATTCTGGGAGTTGAAGTCCACAGGTCTTAAAAGTTGCCACTTCTGATCTAATGGGAGCTAAGTTGGAGAAAACAACATATGCACTTTTATAGGTTTCCAACCTTGGCAACTTTAAGATTTGTGGACTTCAACTTATTTTCCAAAGCACCAGAAGGCAAGACAAGAAGCTATGGATGGAAACTAAGTAAGGAGAGAAGCAACCTGGAATTAAGGAGAAACTTCCTAACAGTGAGGACAATTAACCAGTGGAACAGCTTTCCTCCAGAAGTTGTGGGTGCTCCATCACTGGGGGTTTTCAAGAAAAGATAAGACGGACATTTATCCAGAATGGTATAGGGTCTCCTGCTTGAGCAGGAGATTGGACTAGAAGACTTCCAAGGTCGCTTCCAACTCTATTCTGATTGGTTGACTCCCAAAATTTCCCAGCTAGCATGGCTGGCTGAGGAATTCTGGAAGTCTTAAAGTTGCCAAGGTTGGACACCCCTGAACTAAAGTGTAGCTTCAAAATCTGTAGGTGCCTATCAGTCCTCCAAGGTAGGTCTGGTCAAATATTAGACAATGACAGGGTTCTAGAGGTGCTATTTTATTGTTCTGGGATAATTAGAGCCTTGATGGCGCAGCAGACTAAAGTGCCATTAAGTAGCACCAACTGGATGCAATTAATGCAAGTTCAAATCTCACCAGGCTCAAGGTTGACTCAGCCTTCCATCCTTCCGAGGTAGGTAAAATGAGGACCCAGATTGTGGGGGCAATAAGCTGACTTTGTATAAAAAAGAACATGGCTTGGGGGGGGCCGAAAGCCCTACTAAGCAGGTATATACAAAAGTATGAAGGCTATTGCTTAGCGCATTGTAAGCCGCCCTGAGTCTCCGGAGAAGGGTGGCATATAAATCGAACCAATCAATCAATCAATGGATCATGACACCCAATCCAAAATCTCCACTGCCCTTTTTAAAGAATAGCAACGTTAAGACCAGGCTGTTCTCAGTCCCCTTCTGATGCTTTCCTCTGTCTCAGGTCTAAGCAGCCCTTTCTTCTCTCCAGCCCCATTTCTCAAGGCCAAAGCAAAGGGCTCCTCTTCAAGACCTCCAAAAGTTGTTTCATCTGGGTGAAACGTTGCAGAAATGAAATGTATAAAATACTGATCATCCTTGACTTAAAACCGTTTGTTCAGTGCAGCTGTGAGTTGCTACCGGTTCTCCATGGTTCTTGCAAACCGGTAGTGGAAATTTTGAGTAGTTCGAAGAACCGGTAAATACCACCTCTGCCTGGCCCCGCCCCCAATCTATTTGCTGCCTCCCGAGTCCCAGCTGATCATCTAGAAGGAAAAAAACTATTTAAACTCTTGCTGCGGTGCTTCAAAGGGCCGCCCTACAGCTGATCAGTGGTAAAAGGCAGTGTGGTGGTAGACCGGAACACTCCAAGAACAAATGGGTAGACGGGTACAGCTCTGCAAGCAGTTAAAAGCCTGGTAGACCAGTACCTCTGCCAAATCCTAAAGAATTGCTTGTCACATGACCATCAAACCACGCCCACAAAATAAGCCACGCCCACAGAACCAGTAGTAAAAAAATTTAGAACCCACCCCTGGTTCAGTGACCATTTAAAGTTATCATAGGACTGAAAAAAATGACTTACAACTCCCAGAACATCCTCATGGCAGAGGTGGGCTTCATATACTGTAGCTACCGATTCACCTAGCACTGGAAATTCAAGCACGCGCATCCGCACATGCGTGTGGCATCACAAAACATGGCAATTCGCTCACGTGCGCCATCAGACAACACAGCAATTTGCTCTCATATGCCATCCACACATGCACACAGCATCAAAAACACAACAATACAGGATGGGATTGCACCTGGGTTGGGGGGGGCAGAGTGGGAATGGGGGTGGGGGGGCCCACCCACCCACAGGTCGCCACTACTGTTCGGCACTGTTCTGCCCCAGCTACGGACCCCAAAGAACGCAGCACACAAAAAATCCGTTCAAACCTTAGTTTACTGAATAAACCAGTCTTTTACAACAACGGCTGTTAATTAATTGCATTAACAGCCGTCAAGAATTCAAAGAATAATAACTGAAAATTTACTATGGTTGGCAGAATGCCCAGAAGCAATTTGCAGGAAGCTGATAAGATAAGCAAGACAAGACACGAAGGTATGTGAACGAAGTTGTTCCCTGCAAATTGCTTCAGTCGGCGTTCCTCCTTAAATAGGCTAAGGGAGTGGCCAATTAGCCCCAAGCCTTACTCTCGAGGAGACCTCCTCCTGAGGAGCCACTCCTGCCTCTTGGCAGCTCTGCGCGCCCGTGCATCGAGAAGAGGCTCCTCCTCTTCTTCCTCTTCACTTATGGGAGCTTCTGAAGGTTCTGAAGGCCCTGGCTGAATCCTCGCCTCTGGCACCACATCTTCTCCGGCCTCCTCATTGTCCGACTCGAGTGCCAGCTGCACAGACTGCTGGCGCAGCACCACACCAGCCTCCTCGCTGTCGGAATCAGCTACTAGCTGCACAGGGCGCGTACGGGCCACAACATCGCCCAAACTGGTCCAAACCGGCTGAATCCCACCTCTGCCTCATGGTCACGTAACCAAAATTGGGTGCTTCACATCCAGCCTGTATTTATGATGATCAATGGCAGAAATAGGATTTGCTTAACAGCCACATGGTTCACTTAACAACTGCAGTGATTCATTTTACGACTGTGTCAAAAAAAAGATAATAAAATCAGGCATGACTCACCGAACTGCCTTGCTTAGCAACAGAATTCTGGTCCCAGTTGAGGTCGTAAATGTCATTGAAGAAGATCAGTGACATTTATTTAATATAAAATGAATTTAAGTCTTCTCAGCCATGATGTTGCTCTGCTGCAGAAGACTCCCTGCCCCCCGAGGCTGGAAATTGGGAGCTCCTGGACCCCCCCTTCCCTTTTTTTAAAAAAACAAGTTTTTTTTATTTTTTACACAAACAAACAAACATACAATGTATTTTTTCTGAACATAGTATTGGCCGTTTCACAGATTTAAACAATTTTTAGTCATTTCACCTAAATTTTGCAGTTTATATATTCCCTTTTTGCCATAATATTTATTCTCTCTATTTTTTAAAACCAATATTACCCTTCATCTTAACCTCTAATCTTAACCAAATTGAATTTTTCCCTTCATCTCTAAACTCCTTAAATTTA